ATGTATATATACACACATACATATATACACACACATACATGTATATACACACACACACATACATAGGGAGAGTATGTATTTAACATACTTGAGTTTATACTGATTCTGTACCCTACTCCCTGTATCACTCAAAATTCTTTAGCCCAGTTCTCGGAGGGCTGCATACTGTTCCATCACAGCAATATACTCTAAGTTACTAAGCCAGTCTCCCATTTACCTGTTTTTGGACATTGTGGTTGCTTCTCATTTTTGCTATCATAGGCAATTCTGGGAGGAATAGCTTTATACACAGCCTTTTGTTCAATGTCCCACTCAAACAAATAGCCAGCAATGAACACACCTTTTGCGGGTGCAGGCCAGAGGGACTTCAGTGGGATCACTGCTTATGTGATTCAGACATCCTGCTGCTGGGAGCGCAAACCCAAAACGACCCCAAGTGACGGCCCACAGTTTGGAAATACAGGGCCTTTCTAAGTACAGCTCTCAGCCAGGACCGGGGATGCTGGCGGGGCGGGGGTAGAGGCGGAATTACAGGGGGAGCCATAGGAGAGCTGGATGCACGACGACGGGCACCAGCACAGCTCCGTTCCTCATCCCTCACCTGTGTGACATTTATACCCTCCTCTGTCTTCACGCGGGCAGCCGCTTCCGGGCATCTGAGATGTGCCTGGAATTGTGTTGCTGTTTTGTGTTTCCCACCCCACAGGCAGAGCCCGGCCCCTCCCTCCCCTCCCGCGTTCCCACAGCTCCTCCAGCCGGCTTGTAGCCGGCTCTTATCTCCTTGCAACAATTGTTTAACGTCTTTTTCATCAGACGCCAAACCCCTGGATGCCAGGGACTGTGTTCTCAACAACTTTTGTCCCTTACGGTTTATGTAAGAAAGTAATTCTTTGGATAGATGAAGGAACGAATGTGGAGAAAGGGCACAGCATGAAGGAAGCGTGATAACCCCCAGGCCTTTGAAGAGCCCTGGGAATGGAGCTGGCAATGACGATGAAGGCATTTAGCAGAAGGGGGCAGGGCTGCCGCTGGTGTGGCCTGTTCTCCCGTGTACTTGGCAGTGAAGCCTGGGAGTCCTAGGTCTGGGATCTGAGGCTGCTCCTGCCATGCTGCTGCTGACAGCACCTCCTCCATGCCCGTTTCATCTGCAGTACCAGCAAGGAGGGAGATTCATGGGGTGAGACGGAGAGGCTAAGGGAGGAGAGGTGGGAGGAGAGAGCAGGTGGAGGCCACACCGCAGCACAGTTCACACCCACAACAGCCCGTCCAGCCCCGCCCCACATTGCTCTCACGCCCACACTGTAGACTCACCCTGTGCCCCCACGCACCCACACAGGAGTCTCATCCTGCCTTCCCCACACCCTCCGCCCCTGCCTACAGGCAGCAAGATCAAAGCCACCAGGGACACAGCCACTCTTCTTCTACGTCTTGGAAAAACAGAACCCCTAAGTGTGGAAGGCAGCAGAACCAGAGAGCTGCTGGGCCGGCCCACGCTAGGCCCAGTTGGAGCCTGGGTTTGGGCTCCAGTCCAGGCTCAGCATCACCTCTGTTCAGTCACAGGGAGTGCCCACACCAGTGTCCCTACACCTCTCTTAGCAAGGCTTTCTCCATTTTCATTGGAATAGCTTCTGCTCTGGGACTTCTCAAGTCATACTGAAGACAGAGAAGCCAACCCTAGCACGTTGAGGATCAGGTGAACCCGTTCTGCATCAATGGCTGGGCGGCTCCTGTACCTGCCCATATGTACCTCATGTCAGCCCGAGAGTTGCAAGGACAGACTAAGGGACATAGGCAAACGTGATGAAAGGAAGAGGGCAGACTTCAACTCAACCTCGGGAGAGAAACTGAGGGTAGTGCTATTTGTGTCGGGATACTTGCGGGAGGGCAAGGGTTAGGGGCCTTGAGCATGGGAGGAAAGTGGAGGCTGGGGTTCCTCAGTGAAGGCGCAGCATTGGAGTAACCTGGTTTAATGAGTAACTTTCTCTTCAGCACAGCTTTCTCATGTGTGCAATCTCAGCCGCCACTGGAATCGCTGAACCTCGGTATCTGGGAAGAGCCGTGGGGGTCCTCCGTCCTCCACCCCACGGGAGCAGGGAAAGATGAAGTCTGTGTAGATGAGGACTGCTGCCTGGCATGGGGATGGAAGCTGAGTGCTTCCGTGTCTTCTCCCTAGCTGTTTACCCAAAACAAGACTTTGGAATATGTGGAGTTTGCAAACAGTAACGTGGTGAAGCGTGGAGGAGGGAGTTGGAACTTGTGCTCAACGGAATGTGTTGTCAGTTCCAGGGAACGGCTCTGAGGGTAAACCCAGGCCCACAGCCATGCCGGGCTCACACGAGATCTGCCGCTTGCTCCTGCCTGCCTGCCTGCCTGCCCATCACTACAACCAAAATGTGCAACGCAGGAGGAGTGTCTCAGCACCGTCTGACAGTTCTTCACCATTTTCACACTAATTCCAGGGGAAGAGCACGGAAACGTTTCCAGTATTTGGGTTGGTGAGAGGCGTAAAATAACACAGAGCCAGTTTTCTCAGGGCAGAAACAAACTGGGAAGTTCTGGGTTTAACTCTGTGCATTTACCATCATCTCACTGGCAAGGCAGTAATTTAGGCAATGACTGATGGCTAAGAGGCCCATAAATGGATAGATGACACCTTATACCTGTTTCCATCCAGAGCCAGCAATGTTAACTCATTTTCCAGCTCCCCATATTCCAGCACTGAATCTGAGCATCAGTATCTAGGGAGTGTCTTCCCCTTTTGCCAGAACTACAGGTATTGCCACTATTGAAATGATAGCAACAGTGCTTGAGATTGATGTACTCCTTTCTCATCCGTATTGTTTATGTGTTTTATGGCAGCATGCCAAATGAACTTTTGGGGATAATGAAGATACAAATATACATAAATATAGCCATTTCCCAGCATATCTACTAAATCCATCAATACTCTATTGTTTTAAGAATATTGGCTGCGTGTGGTGGCTCATGCCTGTAATCCCAGCACTTTGGGAGACTGAGGCCGGAGGATCACCTGAGGTCAGAAGTGTGACACCAGCCTCACCAACGTGGTGAAACCCCATCTCTACTACTAAAAATACAAAACTAGCCAGATGTGGTGGCACATGCCTGTAATCCTAGCTACTTGGGAGGCTGAGGCAGGAGAATTAACTTGAACATGGGAGGCAGAGGTTGCAGTGAGCTGAGATCATGTCATTGTACTCCAGCCTGAGCAACAAGAGTGAAACTCCATCTCAAAAAAAAAAAAAAAAAATTAGCCAGGCATAGTGGCACACGCCTGTAGTTCCATCTACTTGAGAGGCTGAGGCAGGAGAATTGACTGAACCCGGGAGACAGAGGTTGCAGTGAGCTGAGACTGTGCCATTGCACTCCTGGGCAACAAGAGCAAAACTCCGTCTCAAAAAAAAAAAAATTAGCACTGCACGAGTATTTAAATGTAAGTATTAAACACACTATTAGTATTAAAACACTAAAACATAGGAATGAACGGATGAAATGTATATGAATGAATTGATAAAGAAGATCCCTTCTCCAGTAGAACTCCTTATACTTATCTATTTTGGCAAAAATGTTTCATATGATTAGGAAATGGTCTTTATTTTTTTTCTTTTTTGAGGCAGGGTCTTGCTCTGGGAGTGCAGTGGGGTACAGTGGGGTGCAGTGGGGTGCAGTGGAGTGCAGTGGGGTGCAGTGGAGTGCAGTGGGGTACAGTGGGGTACAGTGGAGTGCAGTGGGGTGCAGTGCAGTGCAGTGGGGTACAGTGGCGTGCAGTGGGGTACAGTGGGGTACAGTAGGGTGCAGTGGGGTACAGTGGCGTGCAGTGGGGTGCAGTGGAGTGCAGTGGGGTACAGTGGGGTGCAGTGGAGTGCAGTGGGGTGCAGTGGTACAATCTTGGCTCACTGCAGCCTTGACCTCCTGGACTCAAGAGATCCCCCCTCAGCTTCCCTGGTAGCTACGACTACAGGCATGTGCCACCACGCCCAGCTAATTTATAAAAGCTTTTTGTGGAGAAGAGATCTCACTGTGTTGCTCAGGCTGGTCTGGAACTCCTGGGCTGAAGCAATCCTCCTCCCTCAGGCTCTCGAAATGTTAGGATTACAGGCATGAGCCACTGTGCCCAGCCAGGAAATTGTCTTTAAATGTACATCTTGGTGAAGGATGCCAGGGTCGTATACACCAGGAAGCCTCTCTCCAGGATTCCTAGACTGTCTCATAAGTCTACATAGCCAAGCCCTTTTACTCTCTATTACTTCATTCTGGTCTCAGAGTTGGGGTGTGGAGGAATCATATTGTTGAATTTAAAGACATAATATGAGGGTCGCAGTCGAGCCAGCTGGAGTGAACACAGCAGTGAACTGGGAGTTCTACACCCGGCTCTGACATGCAACACCAGGAGGGGATACTGGCTGGCCATTGGACCTCACTGGGCTTTCACAGCATCATCCAGAAAGTGGGGGGATGGACTAGCTCTCCAGTGCTGGCCTGCAGAGTAACGCAGGACAGGCTGCACTTCCTAAAGACAGATTCCTGGGCCTACGCCACAGATTCTGATTTAGCAGGTCTGGGGTAGGGCCTGAAACTCTATTTTTAAAGAAGCAGTGGAGGCTGGATGCAGTGGCTTATGCCTGTAATCCCAGCACTTTGGGAGGTCAAGGTAGGTGGATCATTTGAGGTCAGGAGTTCGAGACTAGCCTGGCCAACATGGTGAAACCCCATCTCTACTAAAAATACAAAAATTAGCCGGACGTGGTGGCGGGTACCAGCTACTTGGGAGGCTGAGGCAAGAGAATCGCTTGAACCTGGGATGTGGAGGTTGCAGTGAGCTGAGATCACACCACTGCACTCCAGCCTGCGTGACAGAGTGAGACTCCGTTAAAAAAAATAAAAGATAAAAAGAAACGGTGGACGGTTGGTCTTCAACCGTTCCTCTAGCTCAGTCCAGGACTCTGACTCTGTTCCCCGGCATTGCAGATGTTTCTTACCTGAATCCTGGGATCATCTTAGCAAAGCCAATGACCTTTTGGATACTGTAACTGACCAGGTCAGCCAGATGGGGCAGCATGGATAGCTGGGACAGGTCCACGGTCACAGAACCATCATCTGAATCTTCTTCACTCAGATCCAGGTTGGAGAAGCTGGATGATTCCATCATGTCTGGGGGGCATGAGGGAAGAGAAGGAGCTGTTTAAAGGTACCTGGACCCGGCCCCTCCTGCCAGCCCCTGCAAAGACCTGCTGTGCCCTGGCAGCCAAGCCAGCTGGGGATCCCACAGTGACTCCAGAGATCATCCTTCAGCCCCAGGCTTCCCTGTGGGATTCTCTCTGTCTCTTTCAGCAGGATGAGGCAGTAAAATCAAAGAGACAGAGACACTCAGAGCAATGAGACTTCCTCAAGCAGACCATGTGCTGTTCCTATGGATCTCAATCAAGAATGAATTTGGGACCCATCAACACATGGAAAAAAATATTCAACCTTGCTAATGATCGAAGAACTGCGATGTAAACATCTATGCTTTTCACCTATAAACTAGAAACAAGAATGTTTAAATGTCGATGCCGGTATTTATAAAGACGCAGGAAATTAGGCAATGCCTGTGAGGCTGGGGTGCTAAAGGGGATGCACATTATTACCACAGGTAATCTAGAAATCTATTTGATGCTAGTCAAACAATTATGTGCACCCTTTGACCAGTAATCCCACTTCCTGGAATTCATTGTAAGGGAAAATTTCAGATAGCGTAAATATTTACCTACAAGAATACTGTTATCTTACTGGAAAGCTGGGAAATAATCCAGATATCCAATGGTAGGGGATTTAGGTACATTACTGTATTCCAGAGTACTATGCAGCCTTTAAACATTATATTCTGAGGCTGGGTGTGGTGGCTCACACCGTAATCCCAGCACTTTGGGAGGCCGAGGTGGGCAGATCACGAGGTCAGGAGATTGAGACCAGCCTGGCCAACAGGTGAAACTCCATCTCTACTAAAAATACAAAAATTAGCTGGGCATGGTGGTACATGCCTGTAATCCCAGCTACTCAGGAGGTTGAGGCAGGAGAATTGCCTGAACCCAGGAGGTGGAGGTTTTAGAGAGCCGAGATTGTACCGCTGCACTCCAGCCTGGGCAACAAAGTGAAACTCCGTCTCAAAAAAAAAAAAAAAAAAAATACAAAAAACAGGAAAGTATGGTGCCTCCCAGACAGTCTGCTGAGGACAGGTCCTCCAGGGCCAGAGTGGTCCCAGGGCTCAGGTGAAGGGTGGGCTGCACTGGGACCAACATGTTCTCCTTCCCACCCCAAATTTCACCTTCTCAAGGGCCCAGGATCAAAATGTCACTTAAAGGAAACCGTCACCTCCAGGGAGGGGGCCACGGGCTGAAGCCTGGCTTAGAGGAAAGAGCATTGGCCCAGGATTCTGTACAGCTAGAACCCCAGTTTGGCCTCTTCCCCAGTGTGGGCCCTTGGGCAAGGCACCTCTTCTGTAACAGAGGGCCTGGTTTGAGGACACTGAATGGCACATAGTATGTATGTAAGTTTCCATTAGGGAGCCTTCTGCCTCCTTCCATCCACAGCCCCGGCAGGTGGGGTGGACTCCTCACCTGCCCACTTACTCATGGAGGACTGAAGTCCTGCTTACCTGGAGAGGTGATACAGTGATCTGAGCAGCAGGAGGAGGAGTCCCCGGAGTAGCTAGGAGTGTGTCTCGAGTTGAGCCTGGAAGGATAGCTCCCTCCAACATCATTCACACGAATCGGAGGCTGGAAGGGAAAGATGGGGTCTCAGACCCACATTTTGGGGTCACCTTCCTACCTTGGCACTGATCTCTGACAGGAATGGCTTTGAGGAAGGTCTCCAGAAGGTGAGGCCTCCCAGTGCCTGGGAGCAGAGCAGCCTCCATCCCTACCCCAGTTCTGTTCAGGATGTTCCCTGCCCTCTGTCCATAATCCCTGGGCCCCGCCCTCTAGTGCTTCTCCTCTGGGCTGGCTCATCCTCCCAGCAGGCAGATGTACCCGGAACTGGCAGAAGTCAGAGTAGGTGGGGTCATAGGTCTTATGGTGGGCATCCAGCAGGATGGCAATGATGCGCTGCTGCTCCTCGGACAGCTTGGGCCGCAGACTGTCCTTCAAGGCCTCCTCCTCCTTCCGTTTCAGGATCATCTCCCGCTTCCTCTGCACCTCCTCATCTGTCAGGATAACTGTGGGGCGGGAGGGGAGTCAGGAGGGCTGGCCAGCAGCTCCTCCAGGAAGCCTTCCTCCTGTGGTCATGGGTAAAGGCCCAAGATAGGAGGGGCTTCAACACTCAGGGCTCCCTCGGGGGTCCTCCTGCCATGGGGACTCCCACTCCACTATGTGAAGAAACCTTGGGTTTGCTATGGTGAAAATGAAGACACGTGCAAGAAGAAGAGAAAGAAGATCTGAGAGGTGGGATGGTCTGGGCTTCAGGGAGTCGGGGTTCTCAAGAATGAGTTGTGGGACCTTGGGCAGACTTTCTGGGCCTCTGTTCTCTTGTTTGTAAAATGAGAGGTTTGTATCACATACGCTCTTCCAAGGTTCTTTTCTCGTACCTTTCTCCATAAGATGTGCGTGTGTCTCTGTGTGTTCGTGTGCAGGTTGGGGAAGTGATAACAGGTTGTGTTCATGTGCAGGTTGGGGAAGTCGATGCCTCAAAGCATCGGCTGAAGCCTGGCCCAGAGCAGATGCTCACTGAAAGCTAGCTCTCTTCTCTCCCCGCCCCCATGTTCCATGACCGGGAAGAAGACGTCGGGGTGGAGAGAGGATGCCAGAATAACTGCGTGGACTCTCACAGTGTTGGACGTGAGATGTGGAGTTGGCTCTGCCACGTGGCTATCTCCACATCCAAGTTTCCAGACATGGAACTCTGGAATATAGAAAGACTAGGCTTCTTTGGTTCTCTGCAAAACCACCCTTCCTCGAGCCCCTACAGCCTTGGCATTTCTGTCCTTGGAAGTTTGCAAGTCCTCTGGAAAGCCTCAAGGGGTGAGGACTTGCAGCTCTCATCTTGGAAGTTCTCTCCAGGTGCTAGTCAGGGCGTTGGGCCATAGAGAGCCCCGACACCACCTGCAGACTGCTGCAGGGGCCTGCGCCTGCCTCCCTCTGATGGGGCAGCTGTGCAGGTGGCAGGGGGATGCCAGGAGCAGAGGTGCCTGGCACGGCGGCTGGGCAAACAGACCTCCTGGCTGTGGCTTGCTGAGTGCTGACGGCAGGAGTGGGCACCGGGGCCCTCAGCCTGTAGCTACTTGCTTGGTGCTGGTGCTGCCAGGGCATCTGCCCACAGAACTGGGGAGTTTCACAAGAGCAGGGAAAGGAACCAGAAGCCCAGAGTGGGTGAGTTCCAGGCTTCGAGAAAGGTCCATTGGCCCAGGCCCTCAGGTAGGAAGAGGACGAGAGAAGTTGGCGGGGGTGAGGAAGAGCCTATGATGGGTGGGAGTGGGCAGCTAGTGCCACAGGCATGGCAGGAAAGGGAGCGCTACTGCAAGACATGGAGCTTCCCTCCATGGGGAGCCTGGGAGGAGACCACGCCCAGGCAGCTGACTCACCTTCCCCAGCAGCTGCCAACTCTCCTCCCACTGCTGGTGTCTATGCAGACTCTATGGGGTCAGGGAGGGTGGGAGAGGAAGGGGCAGGGAGCATCCAGGGAAGGCAATGGGGTGAGCCCTCACCTGGGGAGCCCAAGATTAGGTGTCTGGTCCTTCCTGCTCACCTGGGGACCAGAATTAGGGAGGCCTGTTTCTGCCGCCATACCATGGCATCTACAGGCATGTAGCTCTGCCTGACTGGACTTCGCTAACTTTCCTGTGATTCTGTGATGCCGTTCTCCTGCCCAGACATTCTCCCGGCCCTACTGCTGACCACGTCCCAGCTCCTACTGCTGACCACGTCCCAGCTCCTACTGCTGACCACGTCCCAGCCCCTACTGCTGACCACGCCCCGGCCCTTATTTCTGACCACGCCCTGGCCCTTACTTCTGACCACGTCCCGGACCCTACTGCTGACCATGTCCACACTAACGTTGGCTTCTTCCTAACTTTTCGACTTCATTTCTCAGTGCTTCTGGACACAGCCTCTGCTCTGGGCACGCTGGCATTGCTGCTGACCTGAGAACATGACCTGGTCACGTCTGCCCCTGCATTTCCACTTGTGCTGGGTGTGTGTCCAGCTGGGTCTCCTCTCCCTAATACCTGTACGAGGTCTGTCAGTTCTTCAGGGCCGTCTACATCACAGCCATCTTTTTCCATGACGCATTTCTCTATTGCCCTGATCTGCACCGAGACTCGGCTTTTCTGCACCTGCTGAGCCTCCTTTCTTATGTCTGCTACACACTTCGTCTTTTCCACACACACTGGCACCCAATTATCTTCTGTTCTGTAAGACTCATGGTTAGCAGAGGTTTCAATCCATACCTACGGAGGCAGCCCAAGAAGTTCAAGGTCTCTCTCTAGATTACAAGTTACTTAAGGGCAGGGTCCATGCCTTATAATTCTCTCTTATTTATTTATTTATTTATTTATTTATTTATTTGAGACAGTCTTGCTCTATTGACCAGGCTGGAGTGCAGTGGCACCATCTCGGCTCACTGCAACCTCCTGGGTTCTAAGCAATTCTCCTGCCTCAGCCTTGGGAGTAGCTGGGATTACAGGCACATGCCACCATGCCCAGCTAATTTTTTTGTATTTTGAGTAGAGACGGGGTTTCACCATGTTGGCCAGGCTGATCTCGAACTCCTGACCTCAGGTGATCCACCCACCTCAATCTCCCAAAATGCTGGAATTACAGGCATGAGCCACCCTGTCCAGACTTTGTCTTACAATTCTTATATTTCCCTCCTAAATGCTAGCCCAGAGGGGCTACCTAGCCATGGTGACTGCTCAGTAGTCTGACACAAAACATCAAATGCATCCACACAGATGACACCGACGGTGTGCAGATCCTTTTCCTGGCTTAGGAAAGGCCAGTGAGTGCTGCAGTCCTGCTCGTCCCCTGCAGTGTAGGGAATGGTACCTGGCACACCAGAGAGCTGAGCAAAGCTGACCTCTTTGATTGAAACAATTGTTATGGAAACATTTTCAAGACAGAAAACCTTGTAACGGAACACTTCTAACGTCATACGACCTTTCCTGGATGATTCAGAGGTATCATTCTGAATAATGACTGAAGCTTGCAGGCCAAGGTTATGGCCTCGGCGTTGTCTGAGGCTGGCTGCCCTGCACTGTGCAGCTGGGCGTGCTGGGCTTTGGAGTTCTTGGGCTACTTCTCTTGCTCCCAGCGTCCACCTGTCTGTGAAGCTATGCGTTGTCTCTTCTTACTGGTGTCTGCCTCTGGAAGTGTGCCTTTCTCCCCGCTAAGGCTTACTTCTGATCTGTTGGGAGCTAGAGGTTCTAGTGATCAAGTTTGACGTAGTAAAAAGAAAATATTCATAACACTGGGTCACACATGTAGAGTTTTTCTATCTACCAGGCACTATTCTAAGAGCTTTTTGTATATTAACTCACATATTAAGTCCTCACAACAACGCTTTAAGACAGGTGCTGTTGTCATTCCCATTGAGCAGATGAGGCCCATAGAGGCTTTATACCTTGCTCAAAGTCACACAGCGAACAGTGGTGAAATTAGCATTTAGACCTGGGCAGTCTGGCTCTGGAGTAGAAGGTCAGAGCCACTGCTCTCTGCTGTGTCTGATTACAACTGGTTATAAGCGGACCTTGACTTTCAGCCATGAGTTCTGAAACACATTGTGTCCAATCCATCTGAAGAGCGTGAAATAAAATTAACAAAGCTTGTAAATTACCTACTTTAAAGAGACAAAGAAGGTTCAAGTTTAAACATTATTCCTCCCAGTCACTGCTATTTGACTGCATCAAATAGCAACCACCGTCTTCTATGCAGTTAACAGAGGAAGAAATGCTGAGCTCTGTCAGCTTCAAACAGGCTCAAGCTTTCTGCAAGGCAACATTGAGGACTGAGTGAGTCTGAAGTCTTGCACATATGCAAACGTGCTATGATTTATACAATAATTTGTTTAAAGAGTTTTTTACTTTCATAGGAAATTTCTTATTTTTTCAGTGAATTGAACCGGAAATGTCATTACTATCATATAGGAAGACGTGTTTCAAGTGAAAAGGCATTGGAATAAGAGTAAACAGGCTCTGAAAGTGTTGGGCTCTCTGGTAATTAGGCATCTACATTGCATGAGCTGTGGCATGCGGACTTTGTAAAACCTACATGGCTGGCTCAGAAGCTTTTTTTGACTTCCTTCTAAGTTCCTTGCTGAGTGAAAATAATTTTGCACAGTTATTCCCATGCAAGGCATGTTCTGTCCCTGACGAAGTCAAGATCTGCAGCATAAACAATTTAAAACGTTTCAAGTTGCCACTGACAGCCTAGGAACAACCGCAGGAAGGGGACATACAGTGTTTCCAAATGAATGGACAGCAGGAAGAGGACACACAGTGCTTCCAAATGAAGGGCACAGACATCATCAGGTTTGGGAGAATCTTACTGATCCACAGACCTGCAGAAGATACACCAAGGCAAAAAAGAAAGAGCTAACATTCATTTATTCCACACATTTATTGAGCACCACTGTGTGCCAGGTACTGGGCCAACACCAGAAAGGAAAGACATACATCTGTGAAAGCATCAGACAAGTTACCATAATGTGTGGTTCTGTGCAGGGCATGCATAGCATAAGCCAAAAGCAGGAACTCAGTTATGAAATTTCTTGGGTTCCCAGGTATAAAGTCAACTAAGAATGGAAAAGAGAGAAAATGAGTCTTTGATGGGGACAAAGCTCTCTTCAGCCCATCTCCTAGAGTACGTGGAAGTGCCTGGAAGTGCACAGTGGAGTGAGTTCTAACCCACTGGGGGCACGAAAGACTTCCTTGGGTGTGGCCCACAAGCCTGACCTTTGGAAGCAGACAGACCTAGATTAGAATGAGTGCTGATTCCATTATCTTATTAACTCAGAGCCGTGACATTTTAATTCCTCTGAGCTGCCTTAGCTACTGAAAAAATACAAGTATTTACATAGTCAGGGAGTGTTGTGGGAATTTCAGAAGGAAGTGCATGTGCCTGACGTGGGATCCCATACATGGTAGAATGTCAATACACATGGTTTGTGTCCTCATCCTTTCCCTCCCTGTGCCCCCTCTACGGAAGGCCCACCTCCCTGCCTGGCCAGCAGGAGCCTGGGCTTTAAGCTTCCTTCCTGTGGTTTTTCAAATATTGAGACATTCAGTTGTCTCTGGGATGCTATGCCGTGGGGAAAAGCCAGCTGGATGAGAAATGAGCAGCTGTCCTAGGGTTCTGAGGCTGAGGGACTTCACACTGGCGAGACCTCCTGAAGCCGGGCTAACCTGAGGCTGGGAATGATGCCTCTTCTTGGATGATCTTCCCTTTGGGGCAGTGAAAAGCACCAGGGTGTTTCTGTTTTAACTGGATCCCCATTCCACCAGCCCATTTAGAACTCAGGACCGCTCCCTGCACTGGGATGAGGAGAGCGATGTCGGCAAGAAGCTGCCCTGAGTATATAGCAGGACGGGGACACAGGACTCCACAGGGTAGAACTAGCTGGGGTGGGCGTGGCTGAGGCACAGAGCTGATTTAGGGATGGGGTGGCTGTTGCTTCTGGGCTGCTGGGTCCCCACCACATGGTAGGGTGCTCCTGGGCAGGGCCCCCTGATGCACCCCAGGCTGGGGTTGCTCTTCAGCATGGATGCAGTGCTGTTTATGGGACCAGGGGGCAGGTAGGAGGGGACATCGAGTCTCATTCTGGTCCCAGCTTGGCCACCAACTCGCTTTCTGACCCCAGCTGAGGTCTTTACCTGTCTGACTCTCAGATGTTCTTCCTATTCTAAGTCAACAGGACATCCCCTTCCTCCTGAGGTGGGAGAGGGGCCTCTTGGGCCTCAGTGAGCTTGGCCCTGAGGGGAACACCTGTGGCAATGCCTTACGAGCTGCAACAGTGGAACCCCATGCCACTCCTGGTTGGCTGCAGCTTTAGAAACCAGGCTCCCTGCCCTGAAGAGGCCGTGTTCTCAGCGGAGATGGGGCTATGCCGAGCGCACCTTGTTGGTGCCACCCCTAGCGCCTCGCCCTGAGCAGGGCCCACTGAGAATGTGTGTGAAGTCCCATAAGGCACCCAAGCCTCCAGCCTCCACTTTCTTACTCTCTCCAGGATAAACACAGGAGCTAGGGTGTGGCAGGGACCTCGGTAGGAGCGACCAGCGTGTCCAGGCCTGCACACTCCTATGGGGGTGTGGAGGAACCACAGCCCTGGAAACTCTTTCCAGGGTGCCAGTGTTGGATGGGGAGCTGCCGGATCAGGTGGAGAGTCGTGACCCACAGAAGAGGAGCCTAGGTCAAGGCCCACAGAGGAAGCCCAGGATGAGGGCCTGAGCTCTGCCTGTGTCCCAACAACAGAAAATTATTTTCCCATAAAGGGAGAAACTCCCCGTCCTCTAAGCCCTGTCCTGTAATGTTTCCTCTGTCCCTGACACATCTTCCTGTTACCTGACCTCTCCCCACCCCTCACCACTCAAAACAGTCCCATAGCCAGGAAGGCCTGCATCTGAGCAACACCCCCAACCCGGACCCTGACTCCTCAGGCCCACAGCTAGCAGGGCCTGGGTTCTGTCCTAGCGCCGGGTGGAGGTCTGGGTACAGACAGCAGACAGGACTGAGCAAGGAATGAGTGTGCCCGGAGCACCCATGCCCAGCTGGCCCCATGCCCTTGCTCCAGCCCAGGGAGGGCCTGGCCGGATCTCCCAGCATCTGCTGAATTCAATGGCTACTCTACTTACCAAATCACGGCACTACAGCTCCCACGCAAGGTTCAAGTGTTGTTTTCAGTGGTGAGTGAGAACATGTGTGTAAATCTGACATGTCGGTCTTCTCCAACCCCAGAGTGGGAAGGGAAGTCCTATAGAATCACTCCTCTTTCTCCATCTGGATTCAGAGGGTCACCCGAGAGCCCAGTGCTTCCCCTCGCACACTCTTCTTCCTGGTCTCCCCGGCACAAGCCCTCAGATCTGCTCAAGGTGCCAGAGAGGCTGGCAGACTGGGGTGGGACAGAACGCAGATCCCAGCTATGGTCGGATGTGAACTCTCCCCATTACTCCTGCCCTTCCCAACCCACAGCAGCCCTCTCTCCTGAAGCCCAGAGCACCTGGGGGTCCTCAAACCTCATTCACTCCTCTAGATCCAGGAAACAGGGAGCTGCCAGGATAGGATGACATCCTGAGGAAGACCCTGACCAGGGAGAGGAAGGGGATCTTGAAGGCAGTGTGCTGCCTCTCCTTCCTCTCAGGCCCCACTCTGGAGAGGCCCTTCCAGCGCCTCTGACACCAACACACAGGTCCTCAAGAGGCACACAGGGCCGCTGAGTGCATCTGACCCTGGACTTCCAGCTGCCCTGCCACCAGCTGCTGGTCCCACTGAGGCCCTGGCCCCAGATGCTGGCAGCTACAGAGGAAGGGCAGGCAGACCTCTGCCCGAACCTGCAGGAGAGTGGCCAAGGACTCTCCCTGACTCCAGTTCAGCCCCAAACCCCGGCCAGCCCCCGGACACTCACACTCCTTCATCATGCCGATGTCCACGCAGCGTTTGAGCCGGCAGGCCTGGCAGTGGCGCCGGTTGTCCTTCGTGATGCGGCAGTCCCCGTTGAAGGGGCAGGTGAACAGTGCCTTCCGTTTCATGCTTCGCCTGCCAAGAGAGCGCACACCCTGTCCTGGGTCACTGACCTTCCAGCTCCTCTCTCTGTGACCACAGAGACCTGCCTTCTGGGCTCCCACGTCTCCATTTCTCCAACAGAGGACATGGGGCCCACCCCAGCTGCCAGCCACTCTCACCTCTAGACCGGGCACCAAGCAACTCCTCCTTCTCCTTTCATTGTCTGCGCAGCTCCCATCTTGGCTTGTACTTACCTTTTTTAAATTTTGTGGCTTTTTTTTAAGAAAGGGTGTCAATTTATAGCCCAGGCCGGAGTGTGTGGCATGATCTCGGCTCACTGTAGCCTGGACCTCCCGGGTTCAAGTGCTCCCCCTGCTTCAGCCTCCACTGCAGCTGGAACTACAGGTGCATACCACCATGCCTGGATAATTTTTTTATCTTTTTGTGAAGACGGGGTCTCACTATGTTTCCCAGGCTGGTCTGGAGCTCCTGGGCTGAAGCAATCCCCTAGCCTAGGCCTCCCACAGAGCTGGGGTTGCAGGTGTGAGCAGCTGCACCTACTTCACAGCACTCTCTTCCCCTTCCTCTTTTAAAAATCACACAGGAAATACGTAAGAACATTTCCCTAAAAAATAACTTTCTAAATATTGAACCCTCCGGAGTAGCCGGCACAGTAACATCTAATGAGCCACTGTGAGAAGGAAGGGTGCCAGTCTCAGCGTGAAGTCCTCTAGAGGCCAGAGATGTGTGACTGGAACACCGCCTATTCCAGGGATAGACGTGGACAGGGAAGGGAGAAAAGGCCAAACCACAGCTCTAGATGTCCCAGAACCTGCTCAGTAAGAGCAGGGGCCAGACAAGCAGGTGGAAATCCTGAGGCCTGGCCTTGGATTTCTGAAAGGCAGAGGAAGCAGGAGCTCTGTAAGAACAGAAAACTAGAGTCAGGCACAGGCGGCTTACACCTGTAATCCTGACACTTTGGGAGGTCAAGGCGGGCAGATCATCTGAGGTCAGGAGTTCGAGACCAGCCTGGCCAACATGGCAAAATCTTGTCTCTATTAAAAACACAAAAATTAGTCGAGCATGGTGGCTCACGCCTATAGTCCCAGCTACTGGGGGCCGGGGGCTGAGGCAGGAGAATCACTTGAACCCAGAGGCAGAGGTTGCAGTGAGCCGAGGTCATGCCACTGCACTCCAGCCTGGGCAACAGAGAAAGACCCTGTCTCAAAACGAAACAAAACAACCCCCAGCAGCTACTGAAGTGTTCTTAGGTAGAAAGGTGGTGCCCCTCTGGCCTATGTAAGTTGTGTGTGTTGTGTGTGTGTGTGTGTGTGTGTGTGTGTGTAAGGGCTCATGTTCCTAACTCTAACATTCTCTCCCACTGCCAGACACACCACGTGGACTTTGGGAGGCTGCATGAAGGACACCTCCCTAGAAGCTTCTCATCATCCGTGTCCTAGAGAGTCCTGTCCTCCTCCCCGCCCCAGCAGGAGTAGGCCCACTTTTCTGACGTAGCTGGGGAAAGGTGGTGGCGGAATCACTGTCTGCAGGAGGAGCAGCAGCTTCCAAGGAACTGCTGATTGTGGACATGCCCAAGCCCTCAAAGCCAAAGCCCAGCCCCAACCGCTCCCTTCCTGGAGATCGGCTTCTGACATCATCTGCGCAAGGGACAGGCACTAGTTAGGATTCTTGGTAAAACGTGAGTCACTGTTCACGTTCACTAGAACACACACGGGGTTGAGGGCAACTGCGCTCATCAACTGACAGGCAAGCTCCAGCAGATGGACAGCTGGAGCCCACACGGACCTGGCCCACGGGAAGAAGGCTTTGCTGGCAGTCCCAAGCAGCCCAGACTCAGATCCACAGAGGGCCCACGAGACCGTCAGTGTAGCTCCCTCCCTGTATACGTGAGACCACTGAGGTTAAGAAACTTAACGGCTGAGGTTACTCAGCAAGAAGTGTGGGCTCCTAGATCTGGAAGTGTTAGGGATCTGACGCTTAGCCTTTAGCTTCCTGGATTGTTTTCGATCCCAGAAACTTCTAGTGCTCTGTGAAGTTGACACCCCAAACACCCCAGGTGGCTCAAAGCCAAGAATGACCCAGCAGTCAAGGAAGCAGCTGCTGCTGGTTTTGGACCTTGGCTCTGGTACCCTGCTGTGACGGCCCTCATCACCCAAGGGGCCTACCCGCAGAGCCGGGGTTGTCGGGGGTGGAGCAGCACCCGACTATCAGGGGCTCCTAGGCTCCAAGCCCAGTCCTGCCCCTGCAGTAGCCACCCAGAGACAACATGCCAGGCTTTTTCCATCTTCACCCAGATTCAACATGCCAGGCTTTTCCCATCTTCAAGGAAACAAAAAGCCCTTTGCCTTTCACCTCTATTTGTTTCCTGCTGCTTTTCTGGATGGATAGGGGAATATACAAGCACCTTGGGAGCTATTAGGGCTCCCCAGAAATGAGATACAGTCATCCCCGCAGGCCACATCTGTGTATTCCCGGACATGAGATCGGCGTCCCTCCCACCAACCTTGTGGCTTTTGAGGCTTCATCCGTCACTGCAGAGGCCCAGGCCTCAGAATGCCCGTAATTCTCTAAACCTACTCAAGGACCAGAAGTTTCTATTTCAGAAGAGACTCTCATTTCCTTTTTTTTTTTTTTAACCAATCAGGCATTTGGCTCTGGATGCTGAGGGGCTGCTCTGTCCTCCCACTGGCTCTTGTGTGGCTTGGAGCTCTTCCTGCTCCTCCTGCAAGGCCATGGGCACCAAGAAGACAGCACGTCGTCAGCTGAGCCCAACCACCAGCTCCAGTGAGGGGGGCCAAAGCCTCTTGCCAGACCAGGCCTGAGGCTGAAAACTTCCTGAGGCTTCAGAAGGGAGGTGGCCCCCAGGCCTATTGCGGGCCTGTCTGTCCTTTCCCAGGCTCCAGGGAGCCTGTCTTTGACCCTCACTGGGGGCAGCTCCCCCAGCTGTAGGGTTGCCCGAAAAGAGATTCCACGGCTTCACCCTCTTTCTCTCGTCTTTCTCACGTTGCTTTAAATATGAGGCTCCATCTCAGACAGCTCTACACAGGAGGGTCGGAGGTTGCCACTCAGCCCCACTTTGCCTGGCAACAGGAATGAGGCCAGGAATAGGAAGAGAAAACAGGGCAGAGTTGAGTTAAGAGAAAGCGCTGGGACTGGGCGCGGTGGCAGGAGCACGCCTGTAATCCCGGCACTGCGGGAGGCTGAGGTGGGAGGATTGCTTGAGCACAGGACTTCGAGACCAGCCTGGCCAACATGGTGAAACGTCATCTCTACAAAAAATACAAAAGTTAGCCGGGCATGGTGGCGTGCGCCTGTGGGCCCAGCTGCCAGGGAGGCTGAGGTGGGAGGGTCACTTGAGCCAGTGAAGTGGAAGCTGCAGTGAGCCAAGATTACGCCACCGCACTTCAGTGTGGGTGACAGAGTGAGATCCTGTCTCTAAAAAGAAAAAATAAAACAGAAAGTACTGGGGGTAAAAAAAAAAGTGTGCCGCCCTTGCTTCTGCTTAAGAGTTCTCATATGAAGCCCAACAGGACTGAAAAACAAGACGGCACCATTACGCTCTGGAGCATGGGGCCATTGTGGAAGGTACATACAGAAAGCTTGCTCACCAGCTCCAACAGCCAGACCCAGGGCTTCCTGGAACTCAGACCCCAGAGCTGGCCTTTCAGCTGTGTCTGGCCCAACATGACTGTTTACCGGGCCACGGATCCTCTTGGCTCAGAGGTCCTGTTCTTCCCTGTCTTCCCGCCTTCTAAGGACACTTCCGCATGTGTGGCTGTTATTCACTGTCTGCCCATGAGGAGTCAGGGCAGCCAGACTGCGCCGCCCTGGGTCTGTGCTTTGTCCTGAAGGTCCACACCCTACCCTGCCTTCCTCCCAATACTAATCGCCTGTGAGTTGGTTTGGATTTGAGAAACGAGAGCTTCAGGTTTCCACGACAGCCCATTGCCTCAGCTGCTCTCTGAGCCTGGACCCTGTCATCCTCTGGTTGGTTGGCATTTATACCCAGCTCAGGAAGGGGGTTAGGGGTGGGGCAACAAAGCTAAATATAGATGCAGTTTCTAGAAAGCCAGGGGTGAGAGAGGACATGGACAGATTCTCATGCCAGAGACCAAATTACCAAAACAGAAAGAGACAAGAAGCTCACAAGAGCATCAAGAGCCTGGGGCCAGGCGTCAGGCCTGGGACAGTAGGGCCTTTCTCCAGCAGGTGGCCTCTGGCAGCAGAGATGCACCTCGAAGGACCAGGCATGCGGTCAACTATCCCGTCTGGGCTCTGTCTCCACCGCGCTGAGTGTCACGGAGATCCCATGCCTGCTCACGATACAGGAGCTGGCGGGAGCTCCTGAGCTGAAAGGGCGTGTGAGGCGCTGGGAACGCTAAGTAGTTTCATTACGGTGATCACTTCACAACGTATGTATCTCGCAGAACATCGAGGTGTGCACCCGAAATATAGACCGTGTCTATTTGTCAATTATGTCCCAGTAAAGCTAGAGGAGTAAAAAGACCTATATCACCTGATAGGACAGGCAGCATCAGGGGGTTCTCCTCAGGTGGGTTTTAAAAAGCATTAAAGGACCAGGCGCGATGGCTCACGCCTGTAATCCCAGCGCTTTGGGAGGCTGAGGCGGGTGGATCATGAGGTCAAGAGATCGAGACCATCCTGGTCAACATGGTGAAACCCCGTCTCTACTAAAAATACAAAAAATTAGCTGGGCGTGGTGGCGCGTGCCTGTAATCCCAGCTACTCAGGAGGCTGAGGCAGGAGAACTGCCTGAACCCAGGAGGCAGAGGTTGCAGTGAGCCGAGATTGCCCATGGCACTCCAGCCTGGGTAACAAGAGCAAGACTCTGTCTCAAAAAGAAAAAAGCATTAAAGGGCAGTTAGCAATGTAGAGAGAGGCACAGACCTTTTGTTTGTTTGTTGCAAGGGAGACTGGCATGTGAATCTAGCATGTTAAATGCACAGATAATTTAATTCAGTAAAGCCACTTCCAGTAGTTATCCTGTGGGT